TTCACTGATATATCCCTTAAACAATGTAAACTATGCGTTGGTCCTATTATTACTCACACAATTTCTATTTGGCACAAAATTGAAAAACAATTTAACTAGGAATCAAAATGGCATGCACATACTCCAATATTACACAATAATGCCTTGTGATCTGGAGGGCGGACTTTTGCAACCCCCTCAATGGTCCAAATGTGGAATCCATACCCTTACCGATATTATGGACAGTAATGGTTTGAGAACATTCCAAGATTTGAAAGATACATACACATTACCAGGCAACTCCTTTTATCGATATTTACAATTTAGGTCAGCTATGCTGGCCTATGGAGTCCCTTGGGAAATCCAACTACCTAAACATCCAATGATGGGATTTATAAATAAATTATCTGGGGCTCCCTAAAGGACAACTTTTGTAAAGCTCATATTCTGAGCTAGCCATTAAAGTATGGTCCACAGATGTAATTGAATCTGAACCACGCTTTAACTGGAACAGAATATGGAAAAAAATTACTTAATGCATCCTGTAATCTGAACCATCAATTTATACATTATAAGTTTGTTCACAGACTGTATTTAACACCAAGTAAACGTTTTACGATGAAAAGCATGGTTTCCGGGTGGGCAGGGAGGATGCGGGTGGGTGGATTGGGACTGTCACGACTTCCACCAAGGCTACCCCCCTCCTGGTTTGGGCAGGCTTCGGCGTTCGTCGTCACCGGAGTACTAGCTACTGCCGATCCCATTCTCATCACTCCACTTGTAATTTCTTGTCAATCACACACACCTGGTGCTCATTCCCCTAATTAGTATGTGTATAAGTGTTCCCTCTGTTCCCCTTGTCTTTGTGAGTGATTGTTTGTTGTGAGAGCGTGTAGCTCGGTTGAGCTACTATTCTTAGTGTTTATGCCAAGGTGGATGTTTACCCTTGTTAGTTTCGTTTTGACGCTTGGAGGGTTTGATTTATGTAAACGGAATAAACTCTGGACTTCGGTATTTTACCTCCTGCGCCTGACTCCTTCCTTCACACCTCGTCACAGAATCACTCACCCGCTGAATGGAGTCAGCAGGAGAAGACCGCATGCCTGGAGTTGTGGCAAGGGTCCAGGAGCACTCCTCGATGCTGGCCAGCTTGGGGGAAGCGATGTGGAACGAGGGTGGTACCGCGTTGGAGGACTACGGGGAGTTTGCTCGCCTCTTTTGGGCAGTTTTTGATCACCCGCCTGAGGGTCGAGAGGTGGGCGAAAGACTGGTTCATCTGAGGCAGGGGACGAGGACCGCTCAGGACTACGCGCTAGAGTTCTGGCCGCTGGCAGCGGGGTCCGGGTGGAACGAGCGGGACCTGATCAACCATTTCCGGTGCCACCTAAGGGAGGACGTCCGACGGGAGCTAGCCTGCCGGGATGCCATGCTATCGTTCTCCCAACTGGTGGACATGGCCATCCGGCTGGACAATCTGCTAGCAGCCAGAGGACGTCCTGGTAGGGGTCTGCCTGTTCCCACTCTGGACGACTCTGACCCCAAGCAGATGGAACTGGGGGGAGCCACCGGTCGAGAGAGCGCAGGAGGACAGCGACAGTGCCACTCTGGTGGCACGAAGGGACAATCCACCTCACGTCGCAGTCAACGTTCTTTTGGGTCTAGAGGCGGTAGGCAGGGTACTCACGCATCACCCCAGGTAACGAACACCCAAACGTGTTCAGAGCCCTTTGCGGCGCACTGTACTTTATCTATCTCCTTTCCAGATCACCTGAGGCTGTTTGGACGTACTGCCAAGTTCTCTAAAACGACGTTGGAGGCGGCTTTTGATAGAGAAATTAACATGAAAAGATCTGGCAACAGCTCTGGTGGACATTCCTGCAGTCAGCATGCCAATTGCATGCTCCCTCAATCGAAGGAAATAGCACCAATCTGTGGCATTGTGTTGCAACAAAATCTGTGTCCCCAGCACAAGGTGCACCAGTGTAATGATCATGCTGTTTAGTCAGCTTCTTGATATGCCACACCTGTCAGGTGGATGGATTATCTTGGCAAAGGATAAATGCTCACTAAGAGGGATGTAAACAAATGTGTGCACAAAATGTGAGATAAATAAAGTTTTTGTGTGTATGGAACATTTCTGGGAACTTTTATTTCAGCTCATCTGACGTTGTTTCAAAGGTACAAATTCAATATATTTGTCTATGTTGAAAATTCGTTACCATGATGACATAATCCTGTGGTTAAACAACAGTTTACGTAGACTTTTTCAAATCCAGTGTATTTCCCACATAGATTCCACATCACAATACGTTGACAAATTACGTTGAAACAACATCGATTTACCAGTTTGTATGTTTAATGAGATTTTTAGGGAGATGGTGAATTGTTCTAGTAGCTACCAGAATAAAAGTCCAGAATAGAGGGAAGACATTAGAGAGAGAGATCTTGGTAGGGAGCTCTCAGATCAACACCTTGTAATAGGGAGGAGCAAACACAGTCCACCTCTCCCAGTTACTCTGTGTTAAATCAGAAACAGTAAACGGTGTTGCTGTTTACCGAGGGAAACCCTGTTAGGCCATCTAAAACAAAATTCAACTCGTCCACTGCTGGCCCCTATTCTCAGTTACATTTTTTCCATCCGAACTCAGCCCTTTCCTTTTTCCTGCTGCTGCTGCCTCCCGACTCCCACCCTTAGCGCTATCTTATGGAGATCAGACCGGATTTTCTGGAGGAGAGCAGCTGCAAATAGGATTTTCTTGTGCCAGGTTGGCAGAATCTTGGGCCAAGGCTGGAAAAAAGCAAATCCTCCAGTGGGTTCCCCACAGAATTGAGGGGTGTGGGGCCAAGGGAAACCCCAGCCAAGTATAACAAACAAAGAGGCTTTCCTGGGCTCTCTGAAGCAGCCCATTCCACTGTTTGACAATGGTTGCCATGGAACTTGTTTTTCAGATCATAACAGTGTCAACCCATCCAGGCGGTCGGTCCAGAGAGCTGGCTGCTTAATTTTGTCATTTTCTTCTGTGTCAATTTAAAAAAATATATAAATCAGAAGTCTTATTTCCTGGTGTGTGGTGATGCCAGAGAAATCCCCCTCTCTCTCTCTTACTGGGTTGTGCTGAACTGAACAACAGGATGATCCTTCAAACCACAGATCACCAGGGTTACAACACTTCCACATGGTCTGGGACATGGCCTGTCATTGACGAGGACTAGCTACCTCCCCAACCAAAGAGTGGTTTAAAGAGACAAAATTATCAGGTCTGGCGATCACACTGCAACAACATGTAGTATGGATGTGGTCTGTTATTCTGATCTCACAGGGTAATAATGGGGCTGACATGGGTAAGTATAAATATATGATTCATAATCCATGTTATTTCCACCTTGAGTGGAAAACTTAAGAGGGACATACGTAACTACATCTCCTGGCCTGGCAACTTGGGAAGGATTGTTGTTAAAGTGCACGTGATTAGTGAAGAATTTATGTTTGTCCATAATTTGAACAGGATTGACCTGTTATGTGAACCAAACTTTCGTTTTATGGTGAAACAATTTTTTTAAAAATATTTTTTCCTAAAGAAACATTGACATCTAATAGTCAAATCATAGTGTAAAAGCAGGTGAGCTGCTTCTAATATTTTTGGCCATTTTCTGGTAGAAAACTGAGCTCGTCAAGCATAACACGTCAACCCTTCTAACCATAGATAGGCTAGGATGTTATTATTTTAATTTTTTTGTATGCTTGCATTCAATTGTCCCTCCCTGTTGCACACAACAAGCTTCCATTCCCCCTGTCACAACGGGATTAACGGCTGAATTAAGATGAAATTGTCAACCCTGTTACGGTAAACCTTGTTACGGTCAACCCTGTTTCTTTAATTGGCACTTAATTGGCACATACTATAGTATTTTTTTATTTAATAATTTTTTACGCTACAGAGGTTTTGTTTAATTTCAGTGTGCCAGTAGTTTTTAAAGTAGCGGTCACGAGCCAAAGCGGGTCTCAGAAAAGTGTGCACAATTGTGTACAACGTCATCCATTTCATATGATATGGTACGGCCTGAATTTTTTTTACATAAGAAAATTAATACATTCCTGCTATTCGTATATGTTATGAATTCCAATTCATACAATAGGTTACACTTTTGTAAGTGCTTAACAAACGTTTGGACACACCTACTCATTCAAGGGTTTTTCTTTATTTTTACTATTTTCTACATTGTAGAATAATAGTGAAGACATCAAAACTATGAAATAACACATTTGGAATCATGTAGTAACCCAAAAAGTGTTTAACAAATCAAAATATATTTTATATTTGAGATTCTTCAAAGTAGCCACTCTTGGCATTCTCTCAACCAACTTAATGAGGAATGCTTTTCCAACAGTCTTGAAGGAGTTCCAACATATGCTGAGCACTTGTTGGCTGCTTTTCCTTCACTCTGCGGTCCAACTCATCCCAAACTATCTCAATTGGGTTGAGGTCGGGTGATTGAGAAGGTCAGGTCATCTGTCATCAAGGCAAAGGGTGGCTACTTTGAAGAATCTCAAGTATAAAATATATGTTGATTTCTTTAAAACTTTTTGGATTACTACATGATTCCATATGTGTTATTTCATTATTCATTATAGTAAAAATTAAGAAAAACCCTTGAATGAGTAGGTGTGTCCAAACTTTTGACTGGTAATGTATATATATTTTTTATCAAATTACACTACCCAAAAGGGTCTCTATTTGTGGAATGACCCGAATACTGTATATGAGATTTAGATTTTTTCACTGGGAATGTTTCACAACACTGACCAGACGGGAAACAGGGCAGAGATTACTACACATGTCTCATCTCACATTCAGCTTACATGTGTTTCAATATTCAACAGCTACATACAATTAATTGGTTACAACCTATGCTGTTGTGATTCAGATAATAAAAATAACATGGATGTTACACTACCATGCATCATTCAAGAGCATTAATTATATTGATGTATAAAAGCCTGGCACTAACTTACACTCACCGTCATCAAGGTACATCTGATCCAGGTTCTCCTCCTTGACTGTGACCCGTCCTCCAGGGAGGCTGGCTCTCTGCTCCTCTCCAGGGGGGCATCTCTGGGCCTCCATCCCACCAGGGGAAGACCTGCCCTTGGGCACCCCCTTGGGCACGTAGGGCTGCTGCTGGATCACCGTGGTGGGGTAATGTTGGGGGGAGTGGGCCGAGATAGGGGAGTGAGCTTGGGCTCCAGACTGCTGAGGGTAGCCATCACAGTAGATGATGTGCTGCTGCTTGTCAGGCTGGAGAGGTGGAGGGTCGCCTCCCCGGAGCAGGTGTTGGTTGGTGGGGGAGAACTGGATGATGGAGGGGTGCTGGCCCTGGCCCCCTCCATGCTGCTGCTGCTGGGCCCCCAGCGGGGACGACTGGGCTGGGGAGCCCGTGTGGACCAGGACGGTGCGGTGTGGGTCAGGCATCACCCCCATCTGCTGGTAGAGCCCTCCAGGACTGCCGCTCAGACTCTTGCCCCCACGGGAGTACACAATGGCTGGGCTCTGCTGCTGGAAGCAGGTGTCTGGGACGGGGGTGGGGAGGCCTGAGCGGACCTGCTGGCAGGAGGCCATGCTGGAGACCAGGCCGTTGTCTGGGTGGATGATCCCACGGAACCCAGGGCTGTGGTGGTAGTAGGACTGGGGGGACACACCCAGAATCTGGGTCATGGATAAAGGATAGTCATCCACAGGCTCTGTTTTAATGGACGGGACTGTGGGAGAGATGGAAGACAACAGAGATATGAGTGGGGGTTAAGTTATACTGCTTAAAGTAACTATAATATACTACACCATGCATATATCTTAGTGACATATTACTGACATGGAATAACATATGACTTGATATCATTCCTACATCATTGTATTGCTCTTTCACAGAAGCACCTAAAATAGCACACAGTTCTCTCAGACAGTCACAGTCACATGATGGGTATTGCCTCCTTATTGCTGATGCTTATGGTACCATACCTGCCAGTGGAGTGAATGTGAAGTGCTGTGGCTGGCTGCGCTTCCTCTTTCCGTTGATGACATAGAAGTTCACTTTGGCAGAATGGCAGATCGACAGGTCGCGATAGGAGGGGATCTCAACAAACAGCAGACTCTGCAAAATGACATCATTTTCATTTCATAATAATCTGTCACATTATTATTATAGATTATATTCAGAGTTTAACCACTGTAGATGTGCAAACAATGAAATTGGTGACAAAGTCTGACATTATTATCATAAAAAAAATAAGAAAAAAATAACAAACAATCCACTCAGTATAATCAGTGCACTGGTTTGACCACTGTTTCAGACATTGAGTAAAAGGACTGATACTTACAGGCTGACATTTATCTTTGTCAACGGTTGCCTCCATCTCCCAAATCTGCTGTCCATCTGCAGGGACAGAGAAGGGAAGGGTTGTTTCAGGTCATATACATAATTCAGGGTGAATTACAACATCATGTTGGACACAGCAAAAAACAGGAACACAGTACAGGGAGAGGTTATCTAAAACCAATGGTGAGAAAATGTGTGCCATTGCTATATGCTTTTGATTAATTGCAAACATGCTAAGTTGCAAACCAATTAAAATGTAATTCTAACCAGTAAGAATGTATATCTCAGATGTATCAGTGTGTTTATAGTGAATTAATGAGCTCTATTGTCTCTTCAGCAGGTTGAGCCTGCGTGGGAGGGGATTCTCCGCTTTGTCTCAGAACACAATGCCTTGTTTCAACCTTCACGTCACTGTCTGCCTGCCACTAACCCATAGGCCATATGATTAACATGCAAGAGGAGTTAGAGGACTCTTTGTGTCACATAGATTATATATCTACTCTCACCACTTCCTCTTTCACCACTCTGCTCAGCTACAGCCAAAGACAGCTACAGATTTATCATGAAGTGAAACCATTACCTGAACCTATATTTACCATAATATATTGTAAGAAATCATACATAAAATCACATATTTACTGTGTGTCTAGTAATATTGGAATTATTTTAGAGGTAAAGAAAAGTTAGATTCTAAAAAGGTACACTGCTGGAGAGCTTTGGCCCAATGGTTGATACGCACTGGTGATCAAAAATAGGCCAAACCTGTCTGGGTATGAAGGGATTTAGAGGATACTACCCCACTTTTATTTATTCATTTTTTATTTCACCTTTATTTAACCAGGTAACCTGACTTGCCTAGTTAAATAAAGATACCATTTTAAAAAACAGCATGCATTTAGTTTTACTAGCGTTTAAGAGCAGTTGGAGGCCACGGAAGGAGTGTTGTATGGCATTGAAGCTCGTTTGGAGGTTTGTTAACACAGTGTCCAGTGAAGGGCCAGATGTATACAAAATGGTGTCGTCTGTGTAGAGGTGGATCTGAGAGTCACCAGCAGCAAGAGCGACATCATTGATATACACAGAGAATAGAGTCGGCCCAAGAATTGAACCCTGTGGCACCCCCATAGAGACTGCCATAGGTTCAGACAACAGGCCCTCCGATTTGACACATTGAACTCTATCTGAGAAGTAGTTGGTGAACCAGGTGAGTCAGTCATTTGAGAAACCAAGGCTATTTAGTCTGCCAATAAGAATGTAGTGATTGACAGAGTCAAAAGCCTTGGCCAGGTCGATGAAGACGGCTGCACAGTACTGTTTTTTTATCGATCGCGGTTATTATATTGTTTAGGACCTTGAGCGTGGCTGAGGTGCACACATGACCAGCTCGGAAACCAGATTGCATAGCGGAGAAGATACAGTGGGATTCAAAATGGTCGGTGATCTGTTTGTTAACTAGGCTTTCAAATACTTTCGAAAGGCAGGGCAGGATGGATATAGGTCTGTAACAGTTTGGATCTAGAGTGTCACCCCCTTTGAAGAGGGGGATGACTGTGGCAGCTTTCCAATCTCTGGGGATCTCAGACGATACGAAAGAGAGGTTGAACAGGCTAGTAATATGGGTTGCGACAATTTCGGTGGCTAATTTGCTTTACACCATGTGATATGTACAGTATGACAATAATCTCACTGTATACCAAAACTCTCATAGTATACTGTAGGACATTGCTTTTTTGTTTGATATTTTTCAAACAATATAAACCATACATAGACAAAAGACAATAGGCAGACACACACAAACATTGATAAAATCTATAGAATTAGTGAAATGTGTCTCTTGCATAATAAATTATGTACTATACTGGATAAGTGTACGTTTTTGTTAACTGTAATTTCGTTAGTCATGTTCCAACACTCCCTCCATCTTGTGCCAATATCAGTTATTTTTAGGTCTTGGTTCCAAAAGTTTAGAAGAGATTGTCAGTTGGATAGGCTTTCTGCAAGGTTTTGTATATCTTACCTTTCATGTATCATTTCTGACTCAAATAAAATTCCCTCAACAAGATTTCAGCTCGAGATTTCGTGATATAAAACTTTTAAGTTGCATGTATTTGAAAATGTCTATATTGGTCAGTACAAAATTGCTGTTTAATTCTGTCATTTAAGTTTCTATGCCTTTAGTCTCTATGTGGGCCAATTTATCTGTGAATTCTGAAAAGCTATCCAAGGATTGTTCTATAGGGGTGTGTTTTTAGGAAGTGATATTGGTTCTTGTTGAATACGTTTAATTTTCTTCCATATTGTTATAGTGTTCTTAACTATGAAGTTGTTAATGTTCTTAGCTACATCCTTTCAAAACAGACACATTAAAATATTCTGGGGAGGTGCATACACATCTTCGATAGGTACCCATTGTTCCTCTTTAGTGCATTTAACAATATGTCGCAAGTAAAAGCTTTGGGTGGTGAGATACAAATCCAAGTTTGGAAGGTTAAAACCACCTTCAGACTTAGGGACATGTAAAACGTTCCTATTTATTCTATGAGTTTTATTTGCCCATATAAAGTCTTATGGCCGAGTATACTTTTTTAAAGAATGTCTTTGGTGGGGTGATTGGTATTACCGAAAATAAATATAAAAAGCATGCCATTCTAAAGAGTTTTATTATACATGTAAGATTTATGGAAAAAGTGCTCCATTTAATTAGATCTGCTTTCATGCTGTTGAGTAATGGGATAAAGTTATCTTTATATATTTGTTATCACTTATTAAGCTTCCTAAATATTTAATATTTTTTGTGGTCCACTTGAAGGATTGCTATAGATCATCAGTTATTATTTTTCCTATTGCCATTATTTCAGTTTTTCCACGTTCATTTTATATCCTGAGATTTTAGAGTATTCTGAAAATATTTTTAACAAGGGGGGCATTGAGTTTTCAATATTAGTCATTGTATATCAAGAGATCGTTGGCGAATAAGTTTAGTTTATATTCATGTTTACCAATACTGATACCTGTTAAGTTTGGGTCCTGCGCAAACAGGAGGGGGGAGAGAGGACATCCCTGTCTCGTGCCCCTTTCTAAAGCAATTTCAGCAGATTATATTCATATAATATTTTTTATGAAATGTACTATTTCACAGGAAAGTTAAAGGCTTCCAAAGTTTTGAATAGAAAAGGCAATTCAAGGCTGTCTAAAGCCTTTTAGGCATCAACAGCCATTAGTAATAAATCTACATCTTGTTCTTTAGCGTATTGTATTATATTGAAACTATTTTTTATAAACCCTGTTTGATTAATATGTATCAAGTCCGGTAAGACTTTTGCCATTCTGTTGCTTATGAGTTTTGTTATTATTTAATTGTTGAAATGTATTATTAAACTTATGGGTCTTGTAATCTGCAGGGGACTCCCCAGATTTTCCTGGTTTTAATATAACTGAAATAACCGTTTGATACATTTAACTTGGAAGCACTAAACTGAGTGACATGTGTGTTGTCATTTGAGTAAATAGGGGTGCTACTTTGTCCCAGAAAGTCAAATAAAATTCTATGGGAAAGCCATCCATACCTGGAGATTTTCTCGGCGCAAATGTTTTAACAATGGTTAATATTTCATTTCGGGTGATTTCTATTTTTAGTGATTATTTTTTGTCTGCTGGGTTATTGAGTCTAAGAAGGCTGTAGGATCAGTCCAACTGTTATTTAATTCTGATTTATATAGATGTTCATAGAAGCTTTTAAAATAGTAATTAATAGTGTTGTTGTTTCTATTTAAAGCATGTCCCCTTATCTTTTAAAATTAAAACTGGTTTGGCATGTATTTGTTTTGTGAGGGCTGTTTAACAGGTTTATTACATAAATAGTATGCTTTTTTTTGTTGAACCTGTAGTTGTTGGCTCTCTTCAAAAGTAAATGATCATATTCTTGCTTAAATGAAAATTGCACCCAAAGACTATATTTTGGTATTTGTTTCATTAGTCCAAAATGTTGTGCTTGTCAGCAATCAAGTTTTCAAGATATGTAACATTCAAAATAAAGAAAGCATCCCCGTACGATGCATTTTGCATCATATGATGCAAAACGCAGAATCATATGATGCAAAATGCTTCATACAGGGATGATTTCTGTATTTTGAAAGTTACATACAGTGCCTTCGGAAAGTATTCAGACCCCTTGACTTTTTCCACATTTTGTTAAGTTACAGCCTTATTCTAAAATTGATTAAATAAAGAAATGTCCTCATCAATCTACACACAATACCCCATAATGACAAAGCAAAAACTGTTTTTTAGATATTTTTGCACATTTATTAAAAGTAAAAAACAGATACTTTATTTACATAGGTATTCAGACCCTTGCCATGAGACTCGAAATTGAGCTCAGTTGCATCCTGTTTCCATTGATCATCCTTGAGATGTTTCTACAACTGGTTGGAGTCCACCAGTGGTAAATTCAATTGATTGGACATGATTTGGAAAGGCACACAAATAAAATAAAATGTTATTTGCCACATGCGCCGAATACAACAGGTTTAGACCTTACAGTGAAATGCTTACTTACAAGCCCTTAACCAACAATGCAGTTTGAAGAAAAATACGTTTTAAGTAAAGAAATGGATAAGTAAAAAATAATTAAAGAGCAGCAGTAAAATAAAGTAACAGTAGGGAGGCTATATACAGGGGGTACCGGTACAGAGTCAATGTGTGGGGGCACAGGTTAGTCGAGGTAATTGAGGTAATATGTACATGTGGGTAGAGTTAAAGTGACTATGCACACA